GCGGCGCGGGCGCGCGGGGGGCGCTGTACAGAGCCTCGGCCACGTCCGCCGCGCGCTTCAGGAGGACCTCCTGCGAAGACAAGAGCAAGGCACGGCCGGGGCAGCCGCGGGCGCCGGCCGGGGGACAGCCCCGGGCCCCGCGGCGCTAGGAGGCGCCATACCTGGTTACTGCTGGGCACTCCGTACAGGGCCTCCGCCAAGTCGGCCGCCCGCTTCAGCAGCACTTCCTGGGGGCAGGGGAGGAGACAGCGGTACGGAGGGGCAGCCCCTGGGGGCGGCGGAGGTCCCTGGGAGCCCCGCTTCACCCCCTAGCCCATGGGACACCCTCATCCCGCCCCGCCTCTCTGGGTACCTTGGGCAGCCTCTCGGGGTCCCCGGGGTGTCTGGGAATGACTTTCTGTAGCCTCTGGAATCCGTAGTCAATGGTGGGCTCATTCAGGGCTGGGGAGAATAGTGACGTTTGTAGGACGCCCCCTCCCAGCGCGGGACGCAGGGTGCTAAAAGCTTGCAACCCTCTCCACAAAGCTGCAGACCCTCTCCACAAAACCCACCCCAAGTCCCCCGAAACACTGCTGGTACACCGATCACCGATCACCGAGGTTCAGGGAAGTTTCCTCAGGTCCTCCGTTTGTTTATTCATTCAAACATTTACAGAGCCCGGCTCGGTGCCAGGCGCTTGGCGTTAACACACTTGCACCATACAATGCCATTTGTAATTAGAAAAGAAAAAAAAGGGGGGGGAGGGGAATTGCATATAAATATTAGTTTCTATATTCCTAGGGGCAGGACTCAAGGGAGAAGTGTCTGTTTGCATTTGGTCATATGAGGAGTTTATTATAAAAAAGAATAAAAAGACGACAGTCTCTATATCACTCGGGTGGACTGAGCAGCATCTGACGGTTGGAGGCTCGCATGCACCCCAGGGAAGGGACTGGCCCACACCCGGGGCTCAGCAGCCTCCCGGCTCGGCTCCCCACACCCCCCCCCCCAATTCATTCCTCCCTCCCTCCTTACTTCTCTGGGTAGCCCGGCCCCGACCTAATTCACGAGCCTCAAAGCTCTACTGTCTCCACGTCTAACTTCAGATTTGGTGAATTTCCTTCAGTTTCCCCCAAAGAGTAAAGCACTAACTTCCGGGTCTTTGCATTCGCCATCCTTCTCCGGCTACCACCCCCTTCCTTCCCCGTGCCTACTTCTCTCTACTCATCCCTCCGGTTCCAGCTCAGCCCGTTCGGCCGACACTCCCCGCAAGAGGTTTTCGTTGGCTGTCAACCCCACGACCTTGTAACTCCACCCACCGCACACTGCGTCCCCTGCTCAGCCTTCCCAGGTCAGACAGGAGCTCCCTGAGGATGGAGTCACTAGGGTCACTAGGGAGTGTGCGTTGCCCCACGAAGGGCTGGGTACATATCTGTTGGTGGTGGGATGGCGAGAAGTGGGTGGCTTGGGCTGGGGCAGGGCGGGAGGATGGGGGTGAAGATCCTTGCCAGTGGCTACACAGAACGGGGGTGGGGGATTCTACGCTGCATCTCCACGTGTCTTGTGTTAACTGCTAGCCCTGGCGTCGTGCAAGGGGTATGTGTAAGTGTGAGTGCATATGTGTGTGTGCATGCAGAGGCCTGGGGTGGCCTAGGGGAGCCAAGAGCCCATTTGGGGGCTTCTTTGAAATAAACATACCTTTGGAAAGGTTCAACACCCTGGAGAGTGGGGCGTGGGTGGGTGGTGACACCCTGTTGAGAAGGCCCAAGGCAGACAGAATGCCCAGGAGGGCCCTGGAGGGGACTGGGGAACCAGAGGCCGAGGAGGGAAACGTAGAAGGCCAGGGAAGGAAGGTCCCGCGTGAGGAACGGTCATGAGGGGGAGGTGGGGAGCAGCCGCCTAGGGGGCGTGGCCACACCGCAGATGGTCGCGAACTCCGAGAACAGTGCTCCAGTTCGGCTATAGGGCTCCCTCCGCTGACCTTAGGCCTCCCCTCCCCCGCCTGACTCCTTACCTGTGTAGACAAAGCGGCCAGGGGCTCCCTTGCAAAATTGCTTGGACTTGTAGGAGAGGGTCACCTCCACCACCCCCGGGATGTGCCGCGGGGGCGTCTGCACCCGGATGGCGTGGGGCGTGATGAGCTGCGAGGGGAGAGGGGAGGCCTGCAGGTCCCGTCCCGGCGAGGGGAGGGCCCAGCCCCGAAGCCCGGAGGGAGACTGGCGGGGTTGGCCCACCTCGCTCCACACGAGCACGTTTCCGAACACGACCTGCAACCCGTCGAAGAAGTTGTCGCCGATGACAATGACGGTGGCGCCGCCTGTGGTCCAGCCCTCCCCGGGGCTGATGGCCTTGATGCAGGGGGTAGCAGCTGGGAGGCAGGAGAGGACCCAGGTCAGGGAACTGCGCCAAGGTGGGGACTAGGGGCTGGCTGGGCCAGCGGCGTCTGGGGCTGGGCCGGGGGTCCTGACCTTCGGAGGGGTCTAGGCGGCGAGCCCTGCGGCCATGCTTGGAGTTGTTGTGCACAAACATGTTGTCGGACACGGCCAGCACATGTCCGTCCACGCTCACCGTCGTGGACACCACCACCTGCGGGAAGAGCCAAGGCCAGCCTAGCCAGGGCCCTTGGGGGCACCTGGGGAGGGGACTGTGGTGGGGAACTAGCAACTTGAGTCTGGTGGCTGGGTTGGGGGAAGGGCTTCAGCCCCCCCAGGGGCTCAGCTGGTCGAAGGAGGGCCAGCTGGATCAGGTGACACCTTCAGATGAACTGACCCCCCAGGAGCTGGAAAAATCAAGCTCTCTGAAGACTCTGGCTCCTTGGGCAAGGAATGGCTACAAAGAGTGTTTTCGCACACACCGGAAGGCCAGGCTGTACTTGGGGCTCCAAGGCAGGAACGAGGTCTTAACCAAGGGGGGCGGGCAGCATGAGCCGAAGAACCCATCAGCAGGAGCCCCTACCTTGTCTGGGGAGGAAATAGGGGCTGCTTTCTCTCACTGCCGCCTGCACTGGGAGGGGTGTGCAGGCTGGGGATGTGCTAAGGGCAGCTGCTCTCTGCCTCACGCTATGCAAATTACCTGGGTCGTTAATCATGTAAAAATGTCACAATTAGCATCTTCTTAAGTGGGACTCTAATGAAGCCTCCCTTGGCAGCCAGCATAAGTTGAGATGAGCTGCCCCACCCCCGCAGGCACCAGGCCCTGGAGGCACAGTGCTGGGCAGAGATCTGCCCTGGAGGCCTTTCCCAGGGTGGGTGGTCACAGCCATTCCCCCTAACCCCCCACTATCAGGAAAGGGCAAATTTGCAGGGGGGAACCCTCTCCCCAAACCCACCTGGAAGCGGCGCATGTCTCGGGGATTCCCCGCATTCTTCAGGCAGTTCTGGTTGCATTTGAGGAAGAACTTGAGGAAGAACCTGAAACAGTGTGGTCGGTGGGCCAACTGCTCCCTGCCATGATGAAGAGCCAACTGCTCCCTGCCATGTCCCCTCCCAGTAGGATGACTCCTCTCTGCCTGCTCACTCACTGGCACATGCCCCGTGTTCCCATCATGAGAGGCATATACACAGGGTGCCTGGTACACTCCAAATAGACTCATCACAATGAGTACTTCACTACACAGAATACCCCCCCCCACACACACAGTGTACACAGCACACAGTGCTTATGTTTATCACACCCACACAATTTATATTCAACATAAAGAGTATGTCCATTATATACACTGCATATACCTATTAATAGATCTGCAACATAACCAGCACCATCTTAGACAAGCCCACGTACAAAATGGCGCCGCCCACCTCCTCCCCTCCCCTCCCCCCTTCCCTTTACAAGAAGCCTCCTGACTTGGAAACAAGTTTCCCAGGGTGCAGTTCTCCACCCAGTTACATCAACCTAATGGTCCCTCCCCTCGTACATTTCGCGCCCCAAAGCTAACATAAACTCTGGCAAACCCATTGTTGGGGCTGTCCACCATTTTCAGGGCAGCCATGGGCC